TTTCCATCTTCTCAACCTTTATTTGAGAGCAAGGATTTACTTCGAAACTCTTGTTCGTCGAAACGATTCGAGGACATCTTTAATTGCCAATAAGTTCTCGCAACGTCAGTTCTGCGAAACCGACCGAAATCTTATTACAAGGAATGTATCAACCTTGATTCGAAATACAATTATTCCACCCTATAATTACTACGCCATTCGTTGAATGCGAGTCCCTTTTTTGCATTTATTTTTCCTCCCCTGGAAAATTTATTATAAGTAAAAAAACACCTATTAAGAGAGCAACTCCTATTCTTAATTTGATATAGCAAATAGTTGTAAGTTTTCAAAAATTAATAAAATTATCAAAATATTTTATGTTCCTTCTTTTTCAATAAATTTGCATTCTATTGCATTTCATTTTTTGAAATAAAATTTCAAAAGCAGAAATTTCATTCTCCTTTTTTCATTCGAGGGAAACAATGAAACCATAAAATCCATTGCAATAAGTTGCATCACCTTTCCCCCGAGATAATATCAACGCTGTTCTTTATAATTAAAGCTCGAACAACGATGAAATTTAAGCCAGTTCGGAAAGTTTCTTTAGAGCTCAGTGGAAAGCAAGATTTTCCTTTCCCGAAAGGGAAAACTTTTCTTCGTCGAATGGTAAAATTGCTAGCTGTCGAGAGCCGTGGAAAACTTGGCTCGAGTTGACAGAAAAATTGCAGGACCGTGAAACTTATCTAAAAATTCCACGTAGCAGGTGTCAAAATGCTGCCGGAAACTGCTCGTTTTCTGAGATTGCTCCGAAGCTGTTCGCACTTATACGAAAATAAAATTTGAAGAAAGAGAGCTTTCCATGGATAAAATATACTTCTGTGCGATTTTCAAGTAAATAAAAAAAAATTATAGAAATTTGTTTCTCGCCATACAGATATCGCGTGTACGATTGTTAATTTTTCAATGATAAAAATAAAGCATGGTATTAGTACAAATTTTATTTTCTTAATTATAATATTAATTGCAATCCAGTCATATAGAATTTGATTAATCATTATAATTTGTTTACTCTTCAAAAAATATTATTTCTTTATTTTCTTCAAAGAACCGACATGGAATTCTGAGTAAACCTCGACGGTCAGATCTAAACAACATTTTTCTTTCTCTTTTCTCTGGGGTAGAAGTAAATTGACTCAATTGCCGTTTAAAGTATCCTATGGTGGACAGGTTTGAACAACACCGAGGTTGTTTCTCTGGGATTCTCGGGGTTTATTGCTGGGTTAAAGAAGGCTCTTTCGGGGGATATTAAGAAACGGAAAAAACTACTGAATCGAGTTAGATTGACCAGACGGTATAGAGAGCTTGCTCGAAGCATGATGGTACCAACTGGGTCAATGCAAATTGGAGGTTTATAGTGTACCTATTTATAGTTGTACTTGTGATCTTGTTAATTGGATTATTCTTCGTGGCATGGTTATATAACATGAATCAGAATAAATATTTATACTTCTGCTTTTGCAAACAAAATTTGTTTTGGTGTTCAAAATACCAGTTTGATAATTAATTAATTTTGTAATTATTGTGTAGGTAAAATTTGATTTGGGTTACTGACAATAATTCTGTGAAATATAATGTAAATATAGCCCCATAATATCAATTATTATTTAAGATTTAAGCACTCTTTAAATACTAATATTATATACCTTTTCTATAATTAATTAATTAATTTTGTAATTATTCTATACGTACAATTTGATTTGAGTTATACTCTTTTTTTCTTTCCATAATATCAATTCTTATTCAACATTCAAGCATCCTTTAAATATTAATATTATACACCTTTTGTATAATTAATTAATTTTGTAATTAGACAATGATTCTATGAAATACAAACTGCATTTTTGATCTCGTAATATATTACTTATTATTCAATATTTAAGTACTCTTTAAACAATAATGATGTTACGTAAAATGTTACAGAACGTTTTGAGAAAAGGTTTCGCGTAGACGGTGATTATTTACTGGTTTGAAACAGTAGTATAGGTCAAGCATTAGTAAGCTCAACCGCGAGCTCGGTGAAAATTAATTATTAATAAATGGCCGGTCGTGTTTGCTTAACTTGAGGTTCGTAGTAGCAACCTTAATTAGCTGTTCAGTGGTTCATTTTACGGAGAAATATTAAAAGTTACGATAACACTTCATTCGCCAGTGGAAAGACGATAGATTTTAATCGCCTGTTGAATACATTCACCGAACCATTATTTTTTCATTTTTATCTGTGCATACAGGATTTTATTTTTGAGAATTATTAATTTTCTCATACATTTTTCAATTAAGATACCGTTGAATATTTTCATCGTTCATTTATCTTTACTTCGCTTTACCATCATCATCAATTGATTAACGTAAATTCGGTTCGACTTCAGCCTAGTTTCTTAGTCATTAATGATTCATCCCCTCGAGAGACAAACTAACTTCAATTGAATTCAAATACTACCCTAATTACTTATCACGCAATTTCGATTAGATTTATATCATCCAACGAGACGAGACAGTAAATGCGTATAAATTCACGTGCTCGAAGCAGGCCCGGCTCACAAACCTCGATCGAAACGTTTGAAGAACTGGAAACAACTGAGCTCCGGCCCAGGGTCGAGCGCGTGAATTTGTAAACAATATCCTGACTCGTCTCGATGGAAGGATTATAGATGTTACACTCTGTTTCGGTTATGAACTTTAAATGTAACCCACTTAATCTACTTAACTCTTCTGATAGCCTAACAGTTAGGTTATCAGATAGGTTAGGTAGATTAAGTGGATTATGCCTAACCTAAATGCTTACTAGGACAAAAAATGATTTAAGTGGCTGTCTAATTGATTAAAACAATCAATTACATATAAATTACTATGTATCAACAAAAATCCTCTAACAGTTTCATTAATCATTATTAATCTTAAATACAACCCACATAACCTACCTAACCTATCTGACATACCTAACCTACTTATGGGGGATAATGAATTATTTAAGAGGCTGTCTAAATGATAAACACGTACAATGGTATATAAATTACTACGTATTAACAAAGGATCCTCTAAAAGGATTATTAATTCATCTTGAAATTTCTAAAATTATTATTTCTGAGTGGGATTGTAATTGATCCCCTTTGTCGCCTTAACCCAAATTCCCCTGTTGTCCTTTAACAAGACCCCATAATTTCAAACTCCGTTGTTATTCTTTCAGCCTGGTATACTTTTGCGTCATCAGTGAAAAATTCAAGGCCTTTCGACCTTGACTCAATTTTCCTATCGTTTCGAACAAATCGGGAAATAAAAAGTTCAATTTTAATAAGGATTTATTAATACCTTCAGCTGCTTAGGGTTGCCAGTGACCGACCTAAATTTCTATAGAATCGCTTATTAAATTAATTAATTTTTTTTAATTAGGTGAAAATAAGCGGACTTACCTGTGAATAAGTAGAAAACAAAAACTCGTTAATGGGACAGAGATAATAATTCGGTTAATTTAATCAACACACTGCTGAGAATTACTGTCAATTGGGAGGCACTCTTATTCCGGCATCCATTGAAGGAAATATTTAAGGAAAATCTGAAAAGGTAAGAAAGCACGGTCTGAATGAAACAAGCATCGCACATTTATTCGAGAAGCATGAAAAAGAAAAGAAAAAATAAAAAAAGAAAGAAACACCAGCCGAGTTTCCGGCGTGGCGCGTTCTGTCGCGAACGAAAAGGCTGAAAAATTGAAATTGACGCAGTTACGTGTGTACGTGTCGTCTATGTACGTGTACATGTGTCTCTTTGTGTGTATATATACAAGATATATCGTCTAAAAATATATCTTCGAAGCTTGGCGACGATTAAAAACGCAATTAGTTAACGCTTTCACCCGAGAACTTCTCGCGAACTAAGTCTACAATTTCTTCTCGTTTGTTTTAACTTTTCTCTTTTACTATTTCACGTTACAGTGACGGGAGAGTTTCTCTTATATTTTGCCTTTTTCCAAATTAAACACTAGACGTCGTATCAAAAGACGAAGGTGCATAGAACGTGTGGCGAGCAATTTTTGCGCGTGTCGCTTGCATTTATAGTCATTTCAAATCAATGACCGTTCAAGGTCCACTTTTCACTATAAAATATTCAATTTTAACAAAATCTTAGTCGCTAATAAAGTAAATAATTTTATAAATAAAATATCCTCGAGTTTATACTAATTTTTCAGTTTTGAAATAGAATAGCAAACGTTTATCTCCCGAATAAAATCACAAGGTAACGTTTTAAAGGAAAGTTAAAATTTCGAAAAAAATCGATTTGTTATAATTTATCATGGCCATTAATTGAAGGGACTATAATATTATAGGGTCACGTATACAGTAGTTGATCCCTAAACAATGATTCGGACGGCGGACCATGGAGAGAGCCGCGCGACGGCCGACGGACCACGGAGAGAGACAATTCTAATTCAATTCTCTACTTCATATTGTTTTAATTTTCTAAATTTTACAATGTTAATATTAATTTAATACCCTTGTTTGGGTCACGATTGACCCAGGCTCCATTGTTCAAGGGTTAAATAATAAATAAAAAATGCATTGTATCAGATTTTCTACTTTTTTAGGAAAAGGAGGCAATAACTGTATACGTCACCCTACTGTTTGCTTGATGCTTTATTCTTTTTCTACACAATTACTCACTTTCGGTATCGCCTAACGTGATTGTTCTCCGCGCTGTATCGCTCTGCTACATCGATCTCTTGATGAACTTAGACACGCTTAACTGGCCACGATATTTTAATTACAACATTTATTTATTTACCTCGAGATTGAACGCTTCGATGGACACAAAGGTATAATGATATACTGTAATTTTTATTTTGACAACTTTTATTTCATTTTCAGGAGGATAGATTATTCGAAAAAACGTGTCAGGATTATCAGAGCTCGTCGAACGTATGAATTTGTTGTTTTTTTTTTTTTATTTTCACTGTGTACAGGTGATTTAGGTTTTTTTTTTTTTTTTCGTCGCAGAAAAATACAACAGCCAAGAATATCTTGTCGACTAATTTACTTAGAGGCTACCTTAGAAAATCTGATTAATATACAATATATTTAAGCTGTCGATATATCTTGTCAACAAATATAATTCATGCACGTTGCAATTATAGTTAGATTTCCACGACGATCGAAGTGGTTGAATCCCACTTCTCTCGGTTCCCTCTCGAATAACTTACGATATTTAAGTACATGGTTCAAGAGACGACAGACAACGCGGCCGGTTAAGCGTTGACAATTAAACAGAGTACGCAATTGAATAATCGCACATCGAACAATTATAATTCGCACGTTGGTGCCGCTGAATTGTACAGAGACAACACAACCTCTGAGCAACAGGAAGTCGTCGTTCTAGGTGAATATTAAAAATATTCTGTTTTGATGAAAAATACGTAGAGTAGATTCTGATATGTTCAGTTCGCTCAGCCCTTCGTGACTCAATGTCGAAAAGAAATTAATAAATATAAAATAAATTGAATGAATTGAATCGACGAATTAAACATAGTCCATTCTTATTACGATAATCAATACTTTAAGTAAAGAATATAAAGGGTTGAAAATTTACAGTGAGTCACAGAGGGTTGAGGGTTCAACCCTGTATTCAGATGACTCGATCGAACAAAGTCGTGCTCCTCTTCCTTGAATTATGCCAGGCTTACATTGCTATAGATAAATCGATTAATTATCAGTATCATTAATTTATAAGACACTCATTAACCCTAAGGTGAACTGAAATACAAAATTATCAGCTCGTAAATAATTTACAAATTATTTTGAAAATTTTTCAGATTCTTAATCCTGGCAAATTACTATAGCAATGTAAGCCCAGAATTATTATACATTAAACTACGAACGAAAAAAGTGTCTACGAACGAATCTGGCACTTGACGTGTTGATAGAAACGATCCCCGAACGAGTCGCGCCATTCAACCCCTCAGATTTTAATTATCCACTTAATGAAAATTAACCTGTTAGCTGTGGAATAATTTGCAAAAGTCTACTCTCGAGCGCGGAATTAAAATCAGGGAATGACGAGTATATACAATTAAATGACATTGTTTTTACTCTTTACTGGAATTTCATATTTTCAAATTAACAAATTAATGAATATAGTAATTATTGGACAAATTGAATATTACAGTAATTACTATCAGAATTCTTTTCAATCGATTCTAGTGTAAGGGGGTTGAAAGGGTTAAAATCCACCCCTGTAATATTACGTTCAAAAAAATCACGAAAACACCTTCTTTAATTTATAAAAATGATTTATAATTAAATTTTTTTCAAAATTTGGGTTTTGAAGGGGTTGAAAGACCAGCTGATCGCTTTAATTTCTCGTTCGAATGAAAACTTTACAGTGGAAAATCCAGATTAAAGTCCTCTCTACGAATTCACTCGCGATACGTTCAAGGTCCACTATTAATCCGCTCAAGTATTATTCCACTTAGCTCAATTCATACGTGCCGGGTCAGAGCGTAACCCGTCCACGATCTAAAATAAATGGAGTAATATTTAAGTGGAGCATCAATGAACTGTGACCGGATCTACAATGTGAATTTGTCCTAATGAAACTGATCTACCAAAAAAAAAAAAAAAGAGAAAGAATATTTTCAAGTCTCGTTCCTCGCGTTTCTCCTCTTCCTCTTCATCTTCGTGACACACGCAACACGCATGCACACATACATACACGCAGACACACAAATAGATATATTGCGTATTTGAGCCTCGTCGGTGTCTGCCAAAATTAACCTCGAGATCCTTACATATTCTATCGATAGTTTCTTCATAATCATTAACCCTAGGAGCTTTTTTTATTCATCTTTCGTTAAATCGTAAATCTTACAAGTCTATTCGACGAAAGGAGTGATCGAACGAATCGAAAAGGCTGCACATCTTCTTCGACATACCACGTGCGTGTTTTATGTCATTCTCTTTTTTTTTTTTTTTGGAAACAAGCGAAACACACGGCAGTACAGCAAAACGTAGGTCTCTATCGAAAGAGACTCTTCGATCGTCGACAGCCTGATCGCTTTTTCTCCTTTTTTTAGCTTTATTTTTTCCTTTTTTTGGGGAGGTAATTTTTGCATGAAAAAGCTCGTCGTGATGGCCTGACGTTTTATTATCGTTCGAGAATTTTAGAGGAATTTTGATATTTCATTTTTCATTTGGAATTTAATTGACACTTAAAATTCAGAAAAATTCGTATTGTATAATTTTTGACGAATTTAAGACGCCTCTAGGGAGCAAAGGGTTATTAAAATTAATGTGAAATCGTGAATTCTAATTTCATTCCAAATGATAAAAATATCCGTGGTTAACGGAAAATTATTTTTCTTCCTCGTTTAAAGAATACACTCAAGCTTGCACGATTCACTTTTCCACCTCGTTCAGAAGAATTTGCAGAAAAGATAGATATCGCTTGAGATACAGTCAAACATTTACCGCTAAGCTAAGACGTACTTGAACGCGAATGAGAAAGAAACCCGAAGAAGAAGAAGAAGAAGAAGAAGGATCAGGAACGCAACAGAAGGTACAGGTTGGTGGAGTTAAGAATCAAAATAGGGGGATCGTTCAGCACATTTATGATCACTCAATCATTATAGAATCACTCTCATGATTCCTCGAATCGGTCGGATATCGAAAGCGTTTCCTTTTCATTGATTCTTCCGGTTAGGATGCTTCAATCAACCACGTGACTCGAGCATAAATGGCTGAAAATCGATACGGAAACCGAGCTGCTACGTTAACACTTTCATAAGGAAAAAAACTTATGAACAAATCTTATGACACAGTTTCAATTTTAATCCATTCGAAGAGATTAGATTTCTTCTGGAATTATTTAAAAAATTTTGATTTTTAAATTGTTAAAAAGTCTTCACTTTAAAATTTTACGTTTGATTCACATTAAAAGATGGAATAATTTTATTCGTCTCATCGACGAATTCTCAAGACTTTCAGAGGAGGCAATTATTCAGCACGGTTTTCGTTTAACTAAAACATGTGGTTCAGTTCTCAGTCTTCAAAGTCTTGATAGGAGCGTTCGTTATCGTACGAAAATAAAGTGGCCGAAGGTGAGTGTCACACGGAAATCGTTCGATTGCATTGAGAAATCGGAAACGGATCGAGTTTTCCTTGGCCTTCGTTACCGCTAAACGCCCTTTTGAAACCTCGGACACCCTTAATTTGTACTTTTAACATGAGGATATACCTGGTTGCCATGAATGACGGGCTCGTGCAACGCGTTCGGTGCCTTGGCGAGCAATGATATGTTCCATTATTTTTATCACTTTCACGTCTACAGCTTGTTTAAGCGGCGAGAAAGTAGCCTCTCGTCTAGGAAGGATCCAGGAAGTATGTAAGAATAGCTCAACTTATTGTTAGACATTTCTTCCCCTGTACTTCCTATGGGAAACAAAGTTGCACTACAAAAAGTTAATTAAACGAAAAAAAATCAATAATTTCCTAAGGCTACATTTTCAAAAGATTAAAATTAATTTAGAAAAAATTAATACAATTTCTAGCTATTGAAAATATTACAATTTAACCCTTGAACAGCGGAGCCTGGGTCACTTATAACCCACACAAGGATATTTAAAATTAAACATATAATTTTTAAACCAAACGATTTCATATATCAAAAGAATAATTTTTAAAGAAATATTATAAAATATAGAAAATGATAATGAAGTACCAAGTTGAATTAAACTTGGGACTCTCTCCATGGTCCGCCATCCGAGGGTTAACAAAATAATACCTCTCTTCCCTACAGTGTCATTTTCCTTAGGGAAACCTACCATGCTCGGTACTGTACTACCTTAACAATGTCAAAAATAAACATTCTAAAGTAATCAATTAATAAACAATACATTCCTTAATTAAATATACCTCCCATAGAGCTATCTAGATACCTTTAGCGCGTGTAGGAATGCTCTCAGCTGAATCGAGCGACGCGTAGCCGTAGAACGTGATGGTTTATTCAACCGGAAGTTCTTCGTTCGAGTCACGTGTCTCGCCATCAGCACGAAACGCGTTTCTCGTACAAGCCTCGTATCAGAATCAATCCGCAGCCCTCGGGGTTGTGTTCGAGCACGGATCTGCCACGCTTCGTCTGAATGCTGGCTCGAGAGACGATTCATCCTTACGTTCCCCTGAGTTTGATTTCAACGTGAACATATCACTCTCACTCCCTCATTCTCACCGTTCGCTAACTCATTCATTCGCTCGTACACACGTGCACACGCAATCTTTCTGTTTTTTTTTTGTTTCTCTCTGTACGTGTTTTTTTTCTTTTTTTTTTTTAATTTCTTTACGAATTACCGCGGGGGGAAAAAGGGAGGAGAACTGTCTGCAAAATAGACGATGCGGGAGAACGGGGAGAATGCGAGCAGGGTGTTCGAATCTCTTATCAGCCGGCGTTAGTCTAGCGAGCGGATTTCCCGAAGAGAGAAGCTTTTCCCGGAAGCTCTTTCGATGGATTAACACGCTGACTGCCTTGACTGTTGGAAGTTTCCTTAGGTGGTATCTTTATTTACCAAGAAATTCTTTGAAAATAATTTTTCACTAATTAGGCGAGTCAAAAAATGAATTTCTATGGAAATTTAAGCGTCACTTCCGCATCAGGGGTGAGACGACAGTCAACGTGTTAAATACTACCCCATTTGAAATGGGGATGGGGGGGGTAAATTGAATTTGAATCCCATTAGAAATTCCAAGATTGAACTTTCTGTATTATTCTCAAACCATTTTTCATTGCTCGTTCAAATATACTGGCTTAACGCTAAACACTAATTTACCTCTAATTTAAAATCAATTTAAGTACTCTCATAGTCTAAATAAATATTGAATTCCATCAGGAATTTCAAGATTCAATTTTCCTGTACCACTTACAAATTCAGATATTAACTTAACGCTACGTGCTAATTAAAAGGAATTATGTACTCGTTAATTCTAAACTAGATACTCCAATATTGAATTTTCTATCAATTTTCTTTCTTCCTTTTTAAATTCGAGGATTAGATTTGATGTTTAAGATCAATGAGGTAGAGAGCTCGACCCGCAAGATTGTATATTTGATAAAAGAAAATCGAAGGAAAACCTTCGTCCCCATTCATCCCCATTCACCTGTCGCTCGCAAGAGAAATACTCGCTGGCAACGAAACGAAAACCCTCGTTTATGTGCCCGTGTACACGATAGATTGTGTACGCGTACGCATATATGAGAATATATCATATACATATCATATATATTATATTTATATATATATAGATGAATGTATAAAGAAGTAAACTCGTCAGACTTATGATTTTATGCATAGGTCAGAGGTTCGTCGTCAACAAAGGAATTAGCGTCCTCTTGCCCATCGCAAAATGGCATCAGCCAATACGTCAAGGTGAGCTTTCGTCTGTAACAAAGAAAAGGAAAAAAACGTTTGCTTCTGATCCTTCGATTAAAACAGGAAAATGGCATATCACTTCTTAAACGGGTGCATCGCCCCGGGGGACCTAAAAATAACCAAAGCTCAGAAATATGTATATATATATATATTTTTTTTTTTCTCTTCAATTTTCGTCTGGATTTATTGAACTGTCAAAGGGTTGATGCAAGGTAGTCGGATAGAGGATGGCAATCGTGTTTCGACGACACCAGAGGATGGCTCGAGTGGCTGAGCCCGACCAGCCGGAAGGAAAAGAAGCGAATATCGATTTCAAAGAGGCGGTAGACCGGGTCTGGAATCAGCCGGAGAGAAAGGTCAACAGTTCGCCGGATGTGAAGAATGATAAATCCGCGAGAGGGCGAGACGGGACTCAGATTTCCCTCTAGCTGTTTCTTTTCCCTCGCTTACCTTTTTTTTTTTCTTTACTACCATCCCTTTCCTTCATATTTCCTTTTTTCTCTCTCTTTCTCTCTCACCGTGAACCGACGTTAAAGAGTGTACCAGGTATTTCTGGGAAATGGTCCCTTTAAAGGGAGGTGATAAAATCTTGCGGAAAGAGCGATATAACATGAACGAGAGGGAAATGTGTATTACCTGACGTTAAAATGTAGAGTGGAGTTATTTAAAATGCCGTTGCTGTGGTTTATACTGAGCTTACTTTAGTCAAATTTTGAGAATGAGAGTAAAATTGTGGCTCTCTTCATGGTCCGCCATCCGAGAATCCAGAAATCTTAGAAATAACTCAATTGATCTATCTTAAATTGATAGAATCTTCAATAAAATTGTGGCTTTCTCCATGGTCCGCCATCCGAGAATCAAGAAATCTTAGAAATAACTCAATTGATCTATCTTAAATTGATAGATTCTTCAATAAAGTTGTGGCTCTCTCCATGAATTAGGAAATCTTAGAAATAGCTCAATTGATCTATCTTAAATTGATAGAATCTTCAATAAAATTGTGGCTTTCTCCATGGTCCGCCATCCGAGAATCAAGAAATCATAGAAATAACTCAATTGATCTATCTTAAATTGATAGAATCTTCAATAAAATTGTGGCTCTCTCCATGGTCCGTCATTCGAGAATTCAGAAATCTTGGAAATAACTCAATTGATTTATTTTAAATTGATAGATTCTTCAATAAAATTGTGGCTCTCTCCATGATTCGCCATCCGAGAATTGAGAAATCTTAGAAATAGCTCAATTGATCTCTCTTAAATTGATAGATTCTTCAATAAAATTGTGGCTCTCTCCAAGAATTGAGAAATCTTAGAAATAGCTCAATTGATCTATCTTAAACTGATAGAATCTTCAATAAAATCGTGGCTCTCTCCATGGTCCGCCATCCGAGAATCAAGAAATCTTAGAAATAGCTCAATTAATCCGTCTCGGATTGATGAATCCTTCAATAAAGAATGATTGAAAATAAAATAAAAGATTGTATATCCTCTTATAAATCACAATGGATATTCTAAAACTCCGGCATCGTATTTTGTCGCTTTAATCTCTTCTTTCCTCTTCTCTTTGTGTCTTATTCAACAAAAGAGAGATTCTCGCGGAGGAACTGAAAGGAAATTGTTTTCACATCTCTCTTTTCGCACGCGAGAAAGTTTCTCAACGTTCTATCTTTTAGTCGTTGTTTTTCACACGATGGGAGAAACGAAAGGATTAAGGAGGCGGCAGGCTTTTTTCGAGATTTACACTCGAGTCAGACACGGCAGTGTGTAAATTGAGATTCCCAGCCCTGGAGATTAGTTCCCTGTGGCTTTCGAGTATTTGCGAGCTCGAGGGGTGGCTGAATGTCGCAGAACAGAGATAATTGAGCGTGAAATTAGGCGAACATAACGGTGAATACTTTCTTGCTCTATGTTCATCCACCATGAATTGTGTTATCTCATAGGATTCACGAGATGATACGAGTTTGATGAGGAAGAAAGTTCGTTGGGTAATCGAGCGAAGAGAAGAAGAATCTTCTGCTTAAAAATGATTAATCTTTCATAATAAAAAAAAATATATAGATTAAAAATAAGAAAATTTTTAAATTAAATGAAATTTCTTCAATCTACTTTGAAGCTAAAAAATAAATAAAAAAATAGAAAGGATATGGATGTGAAAATTATGGTAGATTCTAGGTTGCTGATCCGAGTTATTTATGGAATACCTACTTTATCAAAGGAAAGGATTGATTAAAGACTTACAGTTTTGTAAAACATGCAGGCTTGTCTGTCCTCGTCTTCGCCTGTAGGACAGTCTATGAAACCGTCGCACAAGGCGTGATCGTCGATGCAGTGATATCTACCCATTCTGTCTGCAGTGGGACACGCGAACCTTTCCATCCCATCTTCTGACATTGGACATTCTGTAAAAAAAGAAAAAGGAACAAAATTTGAGTAATTGGAAAATTTTTAGCCATTTAATTTACCAGAAGCATTAGATTGGCAATTGGTAGTTTACTATCTTGAGAATTTTCTATTTTGTTATTTTATAATTTTAGATAATTTTCTATTTTGAAAATTTTTATTTTGCTATTCTATAATTTCCTATTTTGCTATTTTTCTATTTTAAGGATTTCCTAATTTAGTATTTTACTATTCTAAGAATTTCCTAATTTGCTATTTTAGTTTTCATAATTTTTTCTTTTGTTATTTTACTATTTTAGAAATTTTCTAGTTTGCTATTTTACACTTTCGATATTATTCTACTTTGCTATTTTATAATTTTGATAACTTTCTATTTTGCTATTTTCCTATTTTAGGGATTTTCTATTTTAATATTTCAGAATTCTGATACTCTGCAATATCATCAATTTCCATTTTCAACATTCTACTGTTTTAACAACCTGGATTCTTAATATTCTTCAATTTAGGTGCTTTTCAATTTCCCCGCCCTTATTCTTTCCTACATCAGCGTTCCATTATTCCTTACTGCAAGCATTTTAAAATCCTGCTACATCATTATTTTACTACATCGTTATTTTCCAACTTCATTATTTTTCTTCTATATCATTTAGAACTTCATTACCCGTTTGTCTCTCTTCTATCATGTTATTTAATACTATCGTGTATCGCCACTTTCAATCACAGTATTATTTTTATCATTATTTCTATGGCGGTCCGTGTAACTTTTCTATTACATTGTTCACACTATTGATCGTTACTATTTTTATGCAAAAATCGTCACGACCCTCCAAGGATCACTGGCACCATTTTTGACGTGAAATTTCTTACAAGGTTGCAATTTAAAAGTTGCATATTGCATGAAATTCAAAGCCATCATGAAAATATCAAGGTTCTTGTTAACATTTTTATTTTATTGATTTACACGATACCTTATTATCTTTAAAAGAATTAATTAAAAATAATTTTTAGGGTTCTAAATAAATTTATTAAAACTTAATTTCACGTCAATTAATCCAATGTGAATGCTAATCATCACAGTGTTAATTAATTGTGATTATGATAAACAATGAAAAAAATCTGCATTGTTATATTATATCAGATTTTTCGCTTTCAAATCATATTTCTTACTTCGCAATATTCATTCAAATTCATTCTCCCTCCACCCAAGCATCAGCAACTTATTTGTTCAAGATCGATTAGGGTGGAACAACCTTGAATATGACATCATACCCGAAAGCTCGAGGCTGGTGGATAAAAAAAGAAGAAAGCAGGGTGAAACTTGTAGGAAAGAAAAAACCTCTGGATCCATCAGTTTTAAGAATTCCATTAGCATTTCCTTACCAACCGATACATTCATCACCAACCAACCCCTCCGAAAGTGTAAAAGAGAATGGAAATAAACGTCACCACCCCCGCGTTTCCAACACTTTACATTCACCCGGCCACCTTTATTTCCATATCCCAATTTTTCTATTTTTTCAATACCATTATTCTATGTTTATTTATTTATAACCCTGTAAATGTACGAAAATCCCACCCTTCAATTTTAAGATAAAAATAAATGAAACATATATATTTGTTTTTCTTTAAATATTATTTTGGAATTTTTAGTATTAATTCTTTTAAAAAAGGAAAAATGTCTCCCATTGAAATTCACCCAGTTCCATTACCTAGTCGTTCCACGATCTCTCCCCAAAAAAATGCAATCCTCTCACCCCTTCTTCATCAAAATGCTAATTGACCGCGTGCATATGAGATTTCCATTAATTCTCCTCGCGCGCCCGATCGATTACTAATGAAGCTTTTGTTGGCCCTGGGACAATGGTCGAATAAAAAGGGGGTAGGTACGTCTTTCCTTTTACCTTGTCCGACGATATTTCCACCTAGTAATCCAGCAGGGTTCTAGACTACCAACAATGCACGACTATTTCCGACAGCACCCACCGGTTGCAACAGAATGCCACACCCTTCCTTTCGTGTGTGTGTTTGTACACTCGAAACGAATCGACGGAAATATCGCAGGTTACTTCGTGGCAAGGTCGTCTTTCATTCTTTCTCCGATTCCTCATTTTTATTTATTTATTTATTTTTTTTATTTATCAAATTTGGTTAACACGACTGTCGTGGTCGTTGGAGACCTGTGCCACGAATCTTTTATAAGGGGATGATTAGTAAGGGAAAAGAAAGGGTTAACAGCGTTAATTTTAGTAGAAATAATGCAAGATTAATTTGCATTTTAGCATTAATGAAAATTGCAGCTTGAATTTAGAAATTAACTTTTGAATGACGGACCATGGAGAGAGCCCCGAGACCAGGGATCAATTTTAATTTAATTTTCTAAATTTTACGCTTTCACACTTTAGGTTAATATCCTTTTATATATTCTGTAAATTTGGGTTTATATTGACCCAGGCTTTGCTATTCAAGAGTTAATCATTTCCACGATGGCAATTAACGCGTTAATCCTTTATTAATTAACGAATAAATAATTTCCAAGCTTTATTCTCTTCGCACCGAGATCTCAACAGGTGACTATCAATCTCGTTTAATTCTCAGTTTGATGGAAGGGGGTGGGTCGAAAGGGGTAGAGTTTCGATCGGGCCAATTTTAACACGTACTCTGCAATCAAACTATCCAACCCGGTGAGTCGGTTACGAAACAATAAAAGTCAGCGATAAAATCGGGGCCAATCGTGACGAGGAAATAAAAAAAGGACTTAAAACCCGGCTCCTCAAACTTTTACCCCTTTCCGGATAGAAGAACGCATACAAAATGAATAATGTAATAATTTCACTTTCGATTCTGGTATTTTTCTATTTTTGCTTGACACCGATTACCAAGCTGTTGGCCCACATAGGCGTGTAAAACTGCAACAGGTGCGAGTAACATCCATCGATAATAATAACTCGGTAATCGTCATCATTTCAACCTCTACGAGTGATTACCGGCTCAATGGATCTACCTTCTGACATGGAATCACCCCACTACCGTGATAATACAAGGAAGGTTCAATATAGAACATTAAATCTCCGTTAGAAAAGGAATTATACTTTCTAAAAGACAATTACTATAATAATTAAATAATCAAAGCACACCCACATTGTAAAACTCATCGTTAAAAAAACGACATTTTATTTTGTAACATATCTTTCCTTTTTGTTCCAAATATAAAATCAATTTCTACAATTAATAAATAATCAAAGTACGACCATATTGCAAATCCCACCAATAAAAAAATGAAACGTTACTTTGAAAGTCAATCCCCACAATTAATAAATAATCAAAGTATATCGATATCAAAACACCCACTCTTGAAAAAATGACGTTTCCCTTTGTGACATATTCTTTTTTCTTTATTTCAAATATCACAGTCAAAGTCAATCCGTACAATTGATGAATAATCAAAGTACATCGATATCAAAACCCACTTTTAAAAAAAACTGACATGTTACTTTATAACATATTCTTTTTCTATTCTAAATATCACAGTAAAAATCAATCCCTACAATTAAAGAATAATCAAAGTACAGCCACATCCTAAAATTCACCCCTTAAAAAAATGACACGACAGTTTATGACGTATCTCTTTTCTTTATCCCAGATATCACAGTAAAAGTCAATTCTCATAATTAATAACTGTCAAATGTAACAGCTGGACTGAAAAAGTTAACCAAATAAAAATCCCTCGACTCCAAACATGTGACGGGACAAACTCGCGCGCCTGGTCACATTAATTACTGTAATTAATCGCGCGACCTTTCACGCTTCGAGCACGTTTAACGTTTCTCGTTAGGAATGTTAATTAGCCCGGAACGCAAAAAGGTGGAAGGAATAAAAAATGAAAAGAAAAGGGAGAACTGATCATTTAATCACCCCCGTTTGTCGTACAGGTGGTCAAGTGGTAATTAAAAGGGAACTCGATCGAAACGGACCCTCTTTAAAGGTCACACTAAAAGGCAATTAATCTCGCCGGCGAGTTATATGGCACGTTTATCATTTCTCGATTGTTTTTCGTGGAAAATGTTGGCCTGCAACGTGTTACCGCGATTAAAACTGTTACTTCGTCGTAATCCGTCCCGAACATCAGCGGGGCGTGCCATCGTGATCAGTGAGTATGATAAAAGTCATTAAAAAGCGAGCAGAAGGCTGCCCCTCTGTCGCGGCGTTAAGAATCGATAGATGCTAATGAGCAAAAAATGTTTACGGTAATTACGCGACTACGCTGTTAATTAACGTTAATGAAGAACAACTGTCAAACCGTGTGTTCATCCCGGTACGATCTTCGGGTGTTTAAATCGTCGATGATTCGGTCTGTTAGATATATAGGGTAGAGAAAAAGAGAATTCAAAATTTCAAGGGTACTGGAACAATAGAATTCGAATTTCACCCTTAATTATTTAATTAAATAAATGAACTATCTTTGGGGTGATCAGTGCAAATTGCAAATTACACATTCTACAGTAATAAAAAAAATAAAAAATAGAAAATAATGGGAGATGGCAATCATAAAATTCGAAATTTAAAATCTGAAGTCTGGAAATCCTGTTCTAAATCATTCGATCTGGAAATGAGTTTTTGATTGCAGATCAGGGATGCCATTTATCAAGGATGTTATATATCATAATCCGAAAGCATTTGAGAAATTTTTTGCGGTGATAAGATACACCTTAAAATTGGTCCTAGAAGGGATGACAACTAAAGGACACTCGTGGGCATCGAGAAGAAATTGCTCTCCATTTTTCCCCCGCGTCGTCTCTTTTTCAACCCCTCGATTTTTCATGCCAATGAAAAATTACTCGTTCTAGGTTCAAGGTGAGATGTCCATTCAATTAGTTGCTCCTATCAAATTCGAGAGTTCGTCAAACACAGTTCAAAATATACCTATCGATCGGGTCTTGAATTTTTAATCAAATTTGAATGGCGTTGAACGGTTATCAAACTACCCAGCGTCGAATCAGAATGAATGGATCCATGGAAATTTTAATTTTGAATAATTATTAATGAAAATATAGAAATAGATATTTGAAAAATACCAAAAAAATGGGTATCCAAAACAGAGCGTTGCAATATTTTTAGGAGAATATAAAAAATTGTTGAAGGAAAAAGAAACGGATACACGAGTATCCGGTTACCCATTCAAGGATTAAATAAACTGGTTCAAAGGTATACTCTCGAGAACGAGAAAGTTAAAAAAGGGCGTCGAGGAAATTGCGATCTCAATCGCGGACTCGTGCAACGAAAACGAGGTAAATTTTATGGTGAACAGGTGAGAAGAACAGGTAAAACGCGAGTTTTCAAATTAGTTTCCCGGCAACGACGTTGAGCGAACGATGAAAATTCTCGCAATTGAACGAGGGAGGGATTTCGAGGGACAGAAGTTAAACCCTTGAGCGAGCTACCGTAATGAGGGATTATTACGCGTGTCAGAATTCACTTTTTCTAATTAGCTTTCAGATCCCTTAATCGTTACCAGAGACAAAAGCATTAATCATAACGTTATAATAAAAATGATTATTTAATGGCAAGTTGCAATTTTCGATTTTCTATTATTAATCCTTGAATAGGGTAAAATTTAGAAAATAAAAATAAGGCTTTCTCCATGGTCCGCCGTCTAATTTATAATTGATCCATTATTTATAAGTAGCCCCTGGTAAACTTATTAATTTATTTTACAGTAGACTCTCATACTGTCAAAAAGGGAGCTGTGGAAGTGGAAAATTTGTCAAACTACCAAACTCTTATTTAAAAAGAAGACAGCAGTGTATCATCTTCTTAGACTATGACAGTATAAACTGTACAATTAAATCTAATTGAAAATCCATATTGCGATATAACGAGGGTCAACCGTATTCCTAAATATTTTACACATTACAATAACATTTCACCCAATCATAATAGATTCTCTTTAAATCCCACCCTACCCGAAATAATGAAATATAAATGACATTAGCTCACCGATCTGCGGCACGTCGTACTGTATGCTACCTCTGGTCGATCTGAGCATAAGTTGAGAAGCAACGGTGTTCCCTGGGGATGACGGAGGTTGAGCTTGATGCTGGGCGGCTTCACCGGGTAGGTCGATGGAGCGTCGTCCGACCGGCATTTGGCTTCTCTTTCCAGGAAGCTTGTTGCCGTCCAACGGAAACGGTGGCCTGGCTATGAAACCCGGGCTCTGATAGTCCCTAGGTTTCTCCGTCCGTGGTATCGGATCAGTCTTCAGGTTCGCAGCAGCGTTGAATTTCTTCTGCTCGAATAGATCGTCGTAGTTGGATTGTCTGGTATCCTGGAAGGTCTTTCGTCCTGTCTCGTCGTCGCACACCCTGATAGGCAAACTGACCGTGTTCCTCGAGTGTCTGCAATCGATTCGTATCTTCTTCACGCGTTGCTGCCCTATATGGCCGTTCGGTTGATCCTCGACCGGGTGAATCAACTGTTCGCCGTTCTGCGGAACGTTGTTCATGTACTCCGAGTAGAGTACGTTCAGCATCGCCGGCGACAGAGCGAAGAAGACAGTCTGAAGCTCTCGTGGCTCTCTGATCATATCGTCGATCAATATACCGGCGGGTGTCCACGACGAGATCCGTGGCTCGTCGTTCAACAGCAACCAATTGGACAGGTCGTCCCGGTGAGACGTATCGGGAGGATATATCCTGAAGTGCAACAGGTTATTGCCAACCGACGAGCTGAGCTCGCTCTTCTTTCGTATTCCGCCGCTACCGTGACGGTAGTCCTGTTCCTGTTGCGCCCCTTGCATGACGATCACCGGTCGATTGCCCACAGCGAGATCCAAACCTTGTCCCACGTACGTGAGAAGCCAGAACATGCACACCGCCATCATATATGTGTCCTACGTTGCGTCGTCCAACCGTATATGGTTGACGACGACTGACGGAGGCTTGATACTAGTCACCCGCGCCCCTTCTGACCAGGCAGATCTACCCTTCGTTGGCGAATCGAAAGGCACGACGCACTGTTTCTTTTATTTTCCACGCGGTTTAGGCCGACTACTTCTTCACGTATCTTTGTTTACAGGCTGGACGGGGAAAGGGAACGAGCGAGCGGGGGCGCGACTCGAGGGAAGAAAACGCGGACGATGAGCGATGACCGGCGATCAATCGATAACCCTTGTCGGCAAGCAGCGTCACATGGGGAGATGACGTTTCTTAAAAGCTCGGTGTACAAGCAGCACTCTTAATACTCTTCGTGAATTAAGGAACACGAGATGATGATTCCGGATAGTCTTCTCACTCTCTACACCCGCGTGTCGAGCGTTCCTTTCCTTTTCTAACCGTAACGTTTCCTGGTCCTGAAATCATGTGGTTAAGTAAAGAACAAGCTGACGATCGGTGGCCAGAGTGGGATTTTGAATGTGGTGTCGGAGGTGCCGTGATCAGAGGTGCTGGTGCTGATGCTTTTTAAGGTGCTCGACGTTACATGGGCAACAATGAAACCCGATCGATCGGTCACAGTTACGTACTCGTAATCGAACTATCTTTCTCCTGGGTCTTCCGTTCGCTCGCTTACCCCTGCTTCTTCCGATCCTCGCTCCCATAGCTTCCAACGATTCAACGATCTTTTACTTAACTTCTTCGTTACGACAGTTCCCTCTTCCCTCTCTCGGATCCTCTACGTTTCTTTAAACGGAACTTACGACTCCGGTCCCGGTTGGTCGCTCGACTTCCGGTCTGATGGTGCTAGAGTGCCGTCGAGAACACCCGGTTTCTACGTGCTGTGACGACAACGGCGTGCAGCGACCACATCGAACTTCCCCCCCGAACGACTTTAGAGTGCGGAAAACTGGCTATGTAGGACGAGTGAGAGATCAACAGGTGCCCGAAAAATGTGCAAAACCGTGCTCCCAATATAACATAGGGGGGTGGTGGGTGTGAAGATGGGAATTAATTAGACACCAGGTAACAGGGCGAGAGTGCGTGTCGAAGAATTGGTGAAGAATAAGAGGTACAACACAGGTGTTACACACATCGATCATAACAGAGAGAACAATAAAGTGTGACACAGAGAGAGAGAGAGAGAGAGATAGAGACAGATATAATTACAGGAGATAATTATCGGGCAAAAAGAGGTGCAGTTGCGATACACGCGCGCGTGTGCGTAATTGTGCGTATCTTATTTTTTTTTTTTTTTTTTGGTTTGGTTTGTGCGAAATACTTGCTTCTGTGACTGGGTGCTCTGTCGAGGGTTCCTCTCCTTATTTCCAACCAGGAATCTTTCTCATGCGTTACGATCAACGGATAACCTTCCCTGTCAGTTCAAAGGAATCCCGTCCAGTCGCACATGCTCTTCGTCAAGGACAGAGTCGAGGCGTCGTGGGTGCTGGTAGAAGCTGGTATCCGCGGTCCAGTTTCACGGGAAAACGGGAACGTTTAGTGTCCCTCGTTCTATCACGCGAACACAAAATGGTGCGAACTAGTCGGCTAGCATTGTTGCTGGTGTTCGGTGTGCGGCTGCGACGACGGTCGGGCGAAAACAACGCTCGGGTCGATCGACGTCCAACGGCAAGGTGTGCTGCTGCTCGTATACTCCTCGAGTGTCCGAGCGTCGTGTGGTTTTCGCTTACGTAGACGTCGGGCCACTTGCGTCGACGTCCGGGCTTTAATCTCGCATGCTCTCGTCGTTCGAGCTTCGCGACGCGTCCGGCGTCTCTCGCTTCCGATGAAACAAGGTGTTACCCAGCGTAACGGCTGCGATCTCACTACGTCTCTGTTCCTCTTCCCCTTTCGCCACGGGGCCACGTAACTGGCGGATGAGGTGGCGTTTTCGGAAAAAAAAAAAAAAGTGAACAACGTCTACACGGAGTCGGTGTGAAAGGAGGTTGCGGCCGTGGATGTTGCTTTGCTGGCCGAAGGTCGAGGGATGGAGGATCGAAGGGTTGGGACGGGTTAGTTTAGCGAGTGAGCTGGCTGGCGCCCTCACCAGAACTAACTCCCACGCTGCGCGGCAAGAGTCACCGGGTTTAATACAACGCGCATCGTCTCCCACCATCGGCTGAGTCGCCGATGCCGTCGTCGTCGTCGTCGCCGTCGACGTTTCCCCTTTTCGCACCCCCCGCGCCTCCGCTGCCAACCCCCGGATAGACCCTGGCCGCTACGTGCATCGTTCACGCTTCCGTTCCGCATACAACACACGCACGCACTCACACCACTCTTCTGCCAAGCACTTTTTTACTTTTTCCCATTTCTTTTTCCTTTTTTTTTTTCTTTTTCATGGTTTTTGAACGTCAGACACCCCTGCTGCACGGGGCGCGTTTGAACTACGGACAGAGAGGATTTGAGGGTTTGATGCTTGCTGAATAATGGCTGGATAGAAAGGCTGGACAATTTTTTTTCTCTTTTCTTTTTTCACTTCAACCCTTCAGCAGTGAAGCCTGGGTCAATCGACGCTGGAACTAAAAGGAATAATTTTTAAATAAAAGAGTTTTATGTATTGGGGAAATAAAGGAACAGTTTGAAGTTTAGAAAATGAGAATAATATGAAATACTGAACTGAACTGAAATTAGGACTCTCTCCGTGGTCCGTCATCCGAAAGTTTAATGAGTTCACTTGCAGTGGGTGTCATCTATGGTTGGTTATTCTGTAACAAATATTTGTTACCGTTAGCGAAAACTTTTATTCCCCACGTTATATTAATGCTAGATGTAAGCTACGTTCTGTTTACATCTCGTTAATTATTTAATTCAATTAAACCCGTGACGTAGGCAAGGGTGACATGATAATCAACACGTTAACGGCTATCTTAACAAGCTTTTATAAGAATATCTTGCCCACGCATTCGTGTGTTATTGCAATTAGCTACTAATTATGATAATTATATAAATTCCATCTAAATTTTCATTACTTTCAGAAATTATTAAGCTGTTCCTTTTAGAACATACATATTGATAATTTATTGCCAATTTAAAAAGTGTCGACTGTCTTTAATTAAAGATTCTTTGATTCTAACTCGAAGCTTCAAGGAATTTTACAAATATTCTTCTCTCTTTCATAAACACCTTATTATGAATAGGTTTCTCGGTTTCTCTAGTTCACAGAAACTTTTGTACTTCACGATAGAGCACGTGTCAATGGGCTTCGAAGAACTTTCTCAATTCAATGATAATTAGAACAGTTTGATAAAGTTTCCTTATCGGTGCATCTTCGCGCTTTTCTATTATGATAGTGCTGTTAAAATGCAGAAACATGATAATTATTTGAAACTTTAACAAGCTTCTTGGAGTTCACTTTATAATCACTAGACTCTGAATATTTATACCATCCAAACATCTTCCTTTCTTTTTTCTTTTCTATCGAAGAATAACCAAAATCATTCTATCGATGAAACGTTAGAAAATATATAGAAACGTAGAACATCTTTTCTTCGCTTATACCTTGAACGCAGTTCTATGGCTGAAAGCTTATGCTAAGGTGTTCGCTCGAAAGCAATCACTTTACCTACTTTTCTTCGTTTTTTATGCTTTTCAGGTACTTTTACTTTGACACTCGACTTCCTGTCGTTTCCATATTTTATCGCAAGCTGTAAAGGTGGTTTCAATACTGCCCTCGAGTTTCTCTTTCCAAACGAAACCTGAAAAATTTTGAATAGTTTCAGAAATAAACTGTCAGTGATTCTGAAATAAATCACAGGAAATTATATAACAAAGATCGGTGAAATTCTCTCGTGTCTGACCATACGCTGACCTTTTCCCCTTAATTTCATCAAACTCCCTCTTTACCATTCTGTTTCTTTAAAATGCTTTAAATAATAACATTTGTAGCACTAAAATTATTTAATTATTTCAAAATTCATAAAAATAAAGGTTATTGTAAAGTTGAAGAAATTTATATTGATTTAGGTTCCACGTGGGTGAAATCAATACTTGCCAATCAACTTGTTAATGCAATACAACGGACAAAAAAGAATCTACGTTTTACAGAATTTTCATTCCGGTAAAACTGAAATGCCCATGATATTTTGAAACAGAATGCAATCGCGCGTGTCTTGCAGATCAAAGGTCAGAGTTTGAACGTTCACGGTGAAATTTTTCATCGAAAAGGATATAACATTTCTAATGGAAAGATTATAAATTTTCTCGTCTTTCCATCGAATCAAATTAAAGAAGCTAGCAAATTACCTCCACTTAGACAAGACTCGTATATTTTCTTGAAAGATTATTAGTTTATGCGATACATAGTTATATATATTTCAAGGTAAATTCGGATCAAACACGTATCTGATTAAATGCAAACTTAATCAGAAAATTGTTTCGTACACATCTCATTACAGATTCAACGACATTTCAAAATTCAATCCACTGTCGTTATTTATTTACCATCGAATCGTACAGAGAGCATATTTTATACAAATAATCCCCTGTTTGCCAATGTTTCACGCAAATTATTATTGCACGAACCTCTGCTCGTTTAAATGCACTTTGCACTCTGCGAAATGTTCGGTTAAAAAAATTTGCAAAAATATTGTATTGCTCCAAAATTTCAAGAAGATTAAATAAAAAAAAAAAAAAAATATACTCTATGCAATATTTTTCACCCGCCCTGTACATTAACGAGTACATAATTTACACGTCTAACAACTTTTCCGTCGTTTGGAAGCTCATTTACGAAAGATCCCTGATAAAATAAACCGGCAGCTTCGCGAATCATAAAACGTGCGCGTAAAAAAAGGACAAGTTCAACACGTGGAAAGTAAAATCGTATCGGAACACGGGTTCTTACCTATCGATTCCACCAAGACATTCGCTCTGAAAGTGGCCTCCATAACCATAAAGATGGTGTCCAGTAAAAAAAAGAGAGAGAGAGAAAGAAGAAAGAAAAAACGCAGACCGCATCGACAACGTCATTAAAGCTGTTTTATAGCGTGCCAGGCTGTTGAATGTCACTTCCTGTTGCCACCGGGTGAAAACAAATTTCGAGATTAACCGAAACAACCTTCGCGTTCAGCCACGATCGTCATCGATCGCGTCATCACGGGTAAGTGGGCGTTTTATGGCGTTCAACGTTACCCTTAAACACCGCCCTTTCACCATAACGTGGAACGGAAAGCAAGTTACACGCGATGGATGAGGTATGGCTTTTGTACCCACGTTTCAACACTCGATACTGGGTCAATGGTGAGAGCCTGTTATGCTTGTAAATTGGAGGTGGAATAATTAAAAAATTATGTCAGGGTGAATTATTTAAAGAAAGTTTTGGGTTTTTCAATCGTGAACCAGACATACAAATCGAAGGTGTAATAATTAAAATTGCAGCGATATAATTTGCGAAAGGAAAGTTTTGCAGTGGAAGAGGGTGGTAATTTGGGGCGGTTTTTCTAGGTTTCTGGTTAATACTTGAATGATGGGGTCTGGGCAATCGTGACTCGGACAAATTGTGGGTGTAATAATTAAAATTACAGTGATCTAAATTATGAGACGAAAGTTTTAGAGTGAAAAGGGGTAGTTTTTAGAGATTTAGGGTTAACCCTTGAATAGTAGGATCCTGGGTCAATAATGACTTACAAATAAGTGTAATAATTAAAATTACAATCATCTAAATTACGAAACAAAAATTCTGGAGTGAAAGGGGTGATTTGTCTAGGCTTGGAATTAGCCTTTAAATGGTGAATCCAGGGTCAATAATGACTTAAACTTACAATTAGGTGCAATAATTAAAATTACAATAATCTAAGTTACGAAACAAAAATCCTGGAGTGGAAGGGTAGCTTCTCTTGATTTAGGATTAACCCTTGAATGCTGAAGCCTGGGTCAATAATGACTTGGACTTACAAACAGGTATAATAATTAAAATTACAATAATCCAAATTACAAACCAAAGTTTTGAAGTGGAAAAGGTGGTAATTATGATTGGTCTTCCTAGGTTTCAGATTAACCCTTGAATGATAGGGAATCAATCGTGACCCGGCCTTACAAAACGTATGCAATAGTTGCTAAATTACAATAACAATATAACACTTAATCAAGTGTCCCTCCCTTCTTTCCTGAATATTCATTCTCTCCCTGAATTTTCGGCAAAGAACATTATCCACTGTTATTAATTAAGCTCGGAGTGACAGAGAATGTCGTTAACTAATCAATCGACTTCACAGACGCCACTAATGTTCAATAGCACAATTGATTGATCCTTTGTCTCGCGTATAATTGGTCGATTAAGGAGCAACACGAGCCACGACAATCGTTTCTCATTAGTCCTGTTGGAATTTTCGGATTAAATTCCGGTAAGTGACGCAACTGATATCCTCGTATTGTCTTTTCTTCTTCCTCTATTATTATTAATATCTCATTATTTTGAAGGAAAGAAAATTTCCTTTTTATTTTTTTTTAGGTTGCAATCTGTGCTCCGCGTGAAATATTAGAAGACACTTGTTGCTCGAAACAAACAACTACAATCTTTCCGATCATAAAACCAGCTGAATCATCGCGTCTTTAAACATAACACCGTTTACATAACACAATGCCTCGACAACGAGCTCACTGATCCGATTGTTCGATGTCTTTAAATGGAATCGAGCTGGTTATCGAATACTCCCGAGCGAACCAAGGAACTACTGTTTATTGTGACTTATGGAAATTCAAAGCATTGTCGGAAAGAAGATGAAATTCTATAACTCGAACAGATGAATTTGACGGTCAGAGAATGTTATTATTAGAACAGCTAGTAAATTCCCCAATTTCATATGAATTTTACTTAAATACCGTCTGAATTCTATCTTGAGATAGCTAAGGATTGTTTCGATGAACAATCTCTTTCTTGTATTTCTGGCAATGCAGAACGTTTATAGAATGCTTTTCACAGAACCTTTGGAAATTAATTCCGGCGTCTGTATTTCATATGATTTATTCCTGAATCCAGTTTGCAAAAATTAATCATTGTCTTTCCTTACAATTAGTCAATTACGCGTGAATGCTAGGAAGCGGAGGGAACATTTTACATAAGCCGGATGTCTGACATATAACGGACATATTCTACTGCGCGCAAGGAATTCGTTTATTTTTGCGACATCGTCAATATTAGCTCTCGAATCGAGAAGCCCGGGACAATCGTGATCCAAATTTACCGAACATACGCAAGGATACTAATTTAAACAGTGAAAAATGTTTTCACGAGTTAAATTAAACCTGCGGCTCTCTCCGTGGTCCGCCGTCTTGAGCCTCTCTCCATGGTCCGTCATCCGAATGTAAAAATCTCGTTTGAAGCTTTCAACTACATTTCAACTATCTTTTTCATTTGTACAAAGGAAAATGCAACCATTTAAACCTTCCCGGAAACAAAATATTTCTGTAGCCTTTTTCAACGTGCTCCAGTTTGAAAAGGTTTGAAAAAAGAAAAAACTATCACGACCATTATTTCCAGGAAGGCATTAATCTAACGCGAAGGTGCAAAGTGAAAAATCATCAACTTCCTCCGGAATATTTCAAGGCGATGAATGGTGACGTAATCTTTCACCTCCTATCGATTAAAAAAAAAACGTGTGCAAACTCTTGAAATGGATTTTAAAAAAAAGGGGAAGAAGAAAGAAGTAAGAAGAAGCAGAGGGCGAAGGAAACCGTCAGACCGATCCTTCGACGTGCAACACGAGGCCAGGCTACAGTATGGCCGCGTCTGCGATCGATTCAGCTTCCAGAATATTTCGCAGAGAAGCGGCGTCACGAGCACATAATCCACGAGAGCGTCATTATGCACGGAAACCGCACACGAACGCTGCTCAGCCGCCACTTCCGTGCAACAGATTACACTCTACATACACTGGTCGAGACGACCGAAACTTTTCCCTCGACGATCCATCATCCCCGAATTGTATAAACCTTCCCAAACAATTTTCTTTCGAAAATTCTATCGAAAAACGACTTCTTTCTGAGGAATTATTTGTAAGTATATCGTGTCCGAAGGATTGCGGTTGTTTCTTTAATAACCGAGCAGACACATGCGAGGAACCTACAGGGCGTGGCTCCAGGGTGCTCCAAGGTGTTCTGCAGCTGTACCTGCTGGTAATTTTGAATTATTACCATTCTTTTCCATTGTCAATTATGTATTCATGATTTTGTCGGCCTTCGAATAAAATGCATACTACTGGAAGTATACTGGAAGTCCGGAGGTCTTTATTATTCTATACTATTCACAATATATAATAATTACTTTTTTTTTCATAAATTGTCACCTCTAATATATAATATTAATAAAAGATTACTTGTTTAACACTAGAATTACCAAAGAGGTCAAAATGACAGGTTTCAAATTTGTTAAAATATTTTTGTTTAGACAAAGAATTATTGTATATTCTAATTTAGCTTTTAGTATTTTTCCATTTTATTTTCAATTTAAAATTCAATACATATTGCACGCCAGTAATTCTGGTGTTAATCAGAAAACCTGTTTAGTTGCATGTTTCCCAACTCGCCCCAAGCAGTTAATAATAAAAACTTTTAATGATTTTCAATTTTCAATTATTTTCAATGATAGATTTCAATTAATAATTAAAATATTCTAAACAAGACTTTTAAGAATCTATGGATAAAAGAAAATCTACCAGTATATGCAGTTAATACTTAAACGACCTTTGACATTAATTAC